TGGCCATTTGTATATCATCTTTGGAGAAATGTCTATTCAAGTGTTTTGCCCATTTTTAACTGGGTTTTCTTTTTGTTGTTGAATTATGAGAGCTCTTTATATATGCTAGATACTAGACACAGTTATTTGCAAGTGTTTTCTCCCATTCTGTGGGTTGTTTTTTCACTTTAATGATAGTGTCCTTTGATAGACAAAAGTTTTTCATTTTTATGATGTTCAGCTTATCTAGTTTTTCTTTTTTTCTTTTTTTCTTTTTTTTTTTTTTTGTGTGCTTTTGGTACTGTAGTTAGCCCTGGCTTATTTTTAACCTCTAGTTTCAGCCTCTTGATATCTTTAGACTTCAAACTTTTTATTTTTAAAAAGATTCTATTTATTTATTCATAAGAGACAGAAAGAGTGAGAAGCAGAGACATAGGGAGAAGGAGAAGCAGGCTCCATGCAGGAAGCCTGATGTGGGACTTGATTCCGGGACTCCAGGATCACACCCTGGGCTGAAGGCAGATGTTCAACTGCCGAGCCACCCAGGCATCCCGAGACTTCAAACTTCAAGCTCTGCCTCAGTGTCTTGCTCCCTAGTCCTCCTTACTCCATAGGCCATTCTTGGGAAAAACTCAAAAGTCTTCAGTTCTAGGATAGCTTAAAGTGCTTGTGAAAAAAATACTTCTGTGTTGCCAATGATGATCACCATAGCATTAGCTAATACTACTATCATGTTACCATTTCTTTTTGTGGTGAGAACGTTTATGATGGCTGTTGTCATTAAGGACTTAGGGAAATAGGTTAAAGCCTGGGGATATAGGGGAAAGATGAAGTGAACTTTTTATACCTTGATATGTTGGCAAGAAATTGTCATTGTTATATAACATTAATTGGCAGTATAATGCTCATATTGAAGTTTCAGGGTCCCTTCCTTGTGAGTACCTTTCTGTCTAACCACACTGTCCAGGTAGGACCTATGTAAACTGTTGAAAAATTAAGGATAGACAAGATCTTATAGATTTGACACATTAATAAAATAGATTACTCAGTGAACAAAAAAACATTGAGTTTGGGACAAATGAAATGTGAAATAGACTGAATCTTTGCCACATTGTGTGCATGAGAGTTTTCCTATAATTAGCATTAATTCTTATGCTATTGAAGTCAATGATTGCTGATATTATTCTTTCATGAGATGCCTTCTTTTAGGATTTCTAGACTTTATAAACTATTTTCATATTTTTTAAATTATTTAGAGGTGTAGAGTTAGTTTTACACTTTCCCTACTTTCTATCCCATTTAGAAATGTCATAGGCTACACTCTGTTTTTTAGCTTTAACAAATCATGTTTTCAAGAATAGACAAGTTCTGCTTCGGTGATAACTCTGAGAAATCATACTTTTTATTTTGAATGATGCTTTTTAACTTTTAAGCATGCATTTTACTTCAATTATCCCAGTTTCTGATTTTTAGAAATATTTAACATTTTTCAAAATAAATATTTAACTTCACATTTTTATTTCACCCTAAATTGAGAAACTTTTAGGAATTTATCCTAAGGCAGTAATGAGAAATGGTTCAATGATGTTTCTGTAAGGATGTTCACTGTACATAGTACAAAACTGGACACAAACTAAAAATCCAACATAAAACATTGATTCAGTAAATTACAGTGCAGTCATTCATTGAACTGCTTGGCAGCCATTAAATTCATATTGCAAAATACTCGGTGATGTGGGAAACTGTTTATAATATCTTAAAACACAAATTGCAAATATGTGGACAATGTACTCTAAGTTATTTAATCAAGGTATAAGCATGACATTAATTTGAATATTTATAAATATCAATAGCTTTTGTCTCTGCATGATAGTATTAGAAGCATTTTTTTATTCTTGAACCATATATTGCTTTTATATTTACAAAAAAGATTTTTGAGTTCTGTGCCACATTGCTGATCATTTTAATAGCTTCATCTTGCATTTTATTTTTTTTAAGATTTATTTATTTATTATTTATTTGAGAGAGAAAGCACAAGCAGAGAGAGGGAGAAGCAGGCTCCCTGCTGAGCAGGGAGCCCAATGCGCGCCTCAATCCCAGGACCCTAGGATCATGACCTGAGTGGAAGGCAGACGCTTAACGGACAGAGCCACCCAGGTCGCCCACTTTATCTTGCATTTTAGATATTAAATACTTTATCCTTTTTTCACTCTTATTCTCTTACATGTGTACTGTAGTTTTCCATGTTAGCGTAGATAACCTCATCTCTGTATAGAATCTTGTATTATTGGTAACTTATTGATAACATTGGTTTCTTAGATGATGATACTGAGGAGCCCAGTGCTTATTTGGCCAATGATGATGGCACATAACTTATTGCAATCTCACTTAGTGACTCTATCAAAGAACTGCGTCTGTATGATAGAAATAAAAAGTTCTTCTGCAAAGGGTTTTTTTTGTTTGTTTGTTTGTTTTTAGTTTTAGGTCTAGAAGTCTGAGATCAAGGTGTTACAGGTTTGGTTTCCTCTGAGGCCTGTCTCCTTGACTTGCAAGTGGCTGCTCTCTTCACATAGTTGTTCTCTGTGCAAATGCCCTGCTGTCTTATAAGGACCTCCTTTTCTTATAAGGACACCAGTCATATTGGATTAGGCCTACCCTGATGACCTCATTTTGACTTAATCCCCTATTTAAATAAGGCCATTTCTCTAAATACATTCATATTCTGAGGTGCCAGGGGTTAGGGCTCAAGCATATGAATTTGGGAGAGGCACAATTCAGTTCATAACAATATATGTCATTTATGATAAATTTAATGACAAAGTGGTGTTGAAGTAAATTGTATTGTGAGTTATTAACAGTTATTGTAAACTCTTATAACATCCTCAGACCTACAGCTGTAAATGAACTCTACTCTTGTCGGGGAGAACAGAGGAGATTACAGATGTGTTAACAATTTTTGTTGTTAGAGAGTGCGTAGTGGGGGCCTGGGGACCCTAGAGGGGAGGGAGAGAACCTTTTTTAAAAGTGAATATATAAGGGGATCCCTGGGTGGCGCAGCGGTTTGGCACCTGCCTTTGGCCCAGGGCGCGATCCTGGAGACCCGGGATCGAGTCCCACGTCGGGCTCCCAGTGCATGGAGCCTGCTTCTCCCTCTGCCTGTGTCTCTGCCTCTCTCTCTCTCTCTGTGACTATCATAAATAAATAAAAATTAAAAAAAAAAGTTAATATATAGGGCAGCCTGGGTGGCTCAGCAGTTTAGCGCCACCTACAGCCCAGGGTCTAATCCTGGAGACTCGGGATGAGTCCCATGTCGGGCTCCCTGCATGGAGCCTGCTTCTCCCTCTGCCTGTGCCTGTGCCTCTCTCTCTCTCTCTCTCTGTGTGTGTGTGTGTGTCTCTCATGAATAAATAAATAAAATCTTAAAAAAAAATAAAATTATCATATAGTGTATTATTAGTTTCATGGGTAGAGTTCAGTGATTCATCAGTTGCATTAATACCCAGTGCCCATTACATTATGTGCCCTCCTTAATGCCCATCATCCAGTTACCTCATCCCTCTCCCTAACTCCCATCCAGCAACCCTCAGTTTGCTTCCTTTTTTTTTTTTTAAAGATTTTATTTATTCATTCATGAGAGACACACAGAGAAAGAGAGAGAGAGAGAGGCAGAGACACAGGCAGAGGGAGAAGCAGGCTCCATGCAGGGAGCTTGACATGGGACTCAATCCCGGGTCTCCAGGATTAGGCCCTGGGCCGTAGGTGGCGCTAAACTGCTGAGCCACCCACCTGGGCTGCCCCTCAGTTTGCTTCCTATAGTTAAGAAGAGTCTCTTACGGTTTGACTTATTTTATTTTTCCCTCCCTTCCCCTATGATCCTTTTGTGTCTTAAATTCCACATATGAGTGAAATCATAAGATTGTTTTTCTATAATTGACTTATTTTGCTTAGCATAACAGAGGGAAAGAATCTCAAGTAGGCTCCACACTCAGCGCAGAGCCTGACTCGGGGCTCAATCTCACAACCCTGATGTCATGACCTGAGCTGGCATTGAAAGTTGACACTTAACTGACTGAGCCACCAAGGTGCCCCAACAATTTTTTTTTTAATCACCACTGGAAAAGTATTGCAAACCCTATGACCTATTGACATTTGGCCCATTTGAATATGAAGAATAGCACCTTTTATAAGTATTAATAAAATATCAGTTATCAAATTCGATATATCAGGGGCTGTCAAGTGAATAGAGATTAGAATTAAAGGGAGTGGAATTAAGGTTAATGGGAAAAAGATACAAAACAATTTGTCCTCTGACATTTAGAACCCTCTAATTGTGGATTGTCCAGACCTGAAGATGGTAGCTCTTTGTGACTGAAGTTCTGAATTTATTGGGCTGATATAGAGGAAATCTATTTATTGTTGAGTGTGGCTCTGGAGGTTGATGATTTATTTTTCTTTTGAGATTCTTCAAGGTAAGATTTTGTTTTGTTGTCTTTAATAATCTACTTTACCTTTAGATTTACTTTACTACTTTACTTTTAGCTACCTTTAGATAGCTAAAACAATAACAATAAAAGGTATTTACTAATACTTTAAAATGCAGATTAACTATCAAGAATATCACTAAATATTCTGAGAAATGTATTCTGTTATTTCTTTTTCCTTCTCCCTCTAGTGGGCAGAAAATATTTTGAAAATATTACTAGTACTGGGTGGGTATATCACAGTATACAGTCTCAGCTTTTTAAAAAATTAATAAATGGGCAGCCCCAGTGGCCCAGCGGTTTAGCACGGCCTTCAGCCCAGGACGTGATCCTGGAGACCCGAGATTGAGTCCCACGTTGGGCTCCCTGCATGGAACCTGCTTCTCCCTCTGCCTGTGTCTCTGCCTGTCTTTCTCTGTGTGTCTCTCATGAATAAATAGATTTTTAAAAATCTTTAAAAAAATAAATAAATAAAAATAAAAAAATTAATAAATGTTAATATTTAAAAATCATTAAAGAAAATGCTTTATTCCTTTATAGGCATAATAATGGATCTTTGAATGTTGAAGATGTTCTTACCAGCTTTGACAATACAGGAAATGTTTGTAAGTCATATATTCCTTTTGTGGAAATATTTTTGGTGTTTTTAAAAGTGAATTTATGATTAGTGCTTTTTTCACTAATATTTATTATGACCATGTGCATATATATGTATGTGTGTAATATAAACTCTTACTGTTTTTAGCTGTAAGATAAGCTTCATATAAGATGCACTTACGAAGTGGGATAAAGCTGTTTTTACATTTTGCATTTGTGTGTATGAGTGTGTGTGTGCATGTGTGTGTGTGACAGAATGTAGGTCAGAGGGAGCATGGGACTCTCCAGCACTACCCCTTTTGTTTATTTCCATTTTGGCCTTCTCAGTCTAATAGATGGGCTGTGTCTGCTGTGTTTTGGGTACTTTCTTTTCCACTTCCTTATGCTTCTCTTTTTCACAATGGAATAAAACCAGAACATTCGATTTCCTTGCTGTTAATACAATGCCAGAGATTTTTGTTTTATGCGGTATTATATTATAGAATACATTGTCTTTTCATCTAAGCTTCTGATTGCCATGATAGATTTCTCCATTCAGAGAACCATTTTAATAATTATCATGTCATATGATGAAAGAAATCAGCCAAGAATATCTTTATATTGCTGTGTTAAACAGTATATGACGATCAGAGCTGTGTGTTTCTTCATGTGTATTGCATAAGATATTTCTTTTAAGATAATGAATTATCAATATAATATGGCCTTTTTACTTTAATTTTTTAACATGACATTTTTAAATGTAAAAATTGTACTCAAATGCTTTTTTTTCTCAAAGAAAATTTCATAGCTGCAACTGTTCTTTGAACTAAAATAAATAACACTTTGCTAACAGTACTACTTTATCAGATGCCCTCTGATTTTAGATCTGCATAAAGCAATGTTCAGCAATACTCAGGCAACAATTTTGTTTTTACGCCCACATATAGCAAGCTTATGATAATATATAAAATATTTATATATTTTGTCACAGAAATCTATAAGTGTCCCAAAATCATACAAAAATATTTAAATAATTTGAGTTTCTTTTTCATAGATAGTGACAGTATACCTTTTAGTTTCTACATGTTGGCACTTGCTGAATTCTTTCCCACCGAGGCTTATCTCATTTTTATTGGGGATTAGGGCAAAGGGTGCTAGTGGTGGTTGAGGAAACATTATCCTTTAGTTCTGGGGTAAGGTAAAATAACATTAAGTCAGGCTTATGCATATATGTTTTAGGAAGATGATCCTAGAATGTAAATGTGGAATTTCTGATTTGATAATGTAAAAATCAAGCGTTGTTCCCAGTGGCTCAGTATGAAATAGGGCCACTAGCTGGCAGCATTATGTAAAATAAAAATACTTTCCTAAAGGTCTGTGCTACTATTTTATACATGAATAACTATCTTATCCTTCTCTGACATTTTTTCTCATCAACTTGTTCCACACCACCTTCATCTACCCCTAGTGGTTGCATTGACAAATGGAGGAATTGCATGGAAAGGGTATTTTTTCACTGATGTATTGTTTGGTGAAAAGGTTTGAGTCTTTGGAATGAGACTTATCTACATTTGATTCTTGGCTCTGAAATTCATCTTGAGCAATTTATATTATGTCAGTTTATATCAGTTTATGTTATGTCTTAGAACTGGATAGAATATATAGAAAATGTATTAACATATACTGTATTCCTCATAGTTGACACTCAGTAAATGGAAGCTATTTATTAATTATTACTGGTGATGAGTACCTCTAAAATGTCTTTCCTTCTTTTTCTAATAATGAAGATAATATTATTAAAGGTTGTTCTCATGTTTTAAAATAAACTATTTTGATTGAACTAATAAGGCAGGAAAAAAAAATAGATCAAATTACCAAAATAGTAATTTATTAAAATGTCTTGTCACAGATGTTGTGTTAAAAACCTGAATATGGGGGATCCCTGGGTGGCGCAGCGGTTTGGCGCCTGCCTTTGGCCCAAGGCGCGATCCTGGAGACCCGGGATCGAATCCCACATCGGGTTCCCGGTGCATGGAGCCTGCTTCTCCCTCTGCCTGTGTCTCTGCCTCTCTCTCTCTCTCTCTCTGTGACTATCATAAATAAATAAAAATTTAAAAAAAAACCAAAAAACAAAAAACCCTGAATATGGTGGGATGCCTGGGTGGCTTAGTGGTTGAGCATCTGCCTTCAGCCCAGAGCATGATCCTGGGGTCCTGGGGAGTCCCACATCAGGCTTCCTGCATGGAGCCTGCTTCTCTCTCTGCCTGTGTCTCTGGCCCCCCCCCCCCCGTCTCTCATGAATAAATAAAATCTTGAAAAGCAAAAAACAAAAAACCTGAATATGGTGGCAAAAATGAGACCTATTAAAACATGTTTGGTGTAACTTTTATACTATCCTCTTATTTTAAGAGAAAAGTCTATACTAATGTATACTAATACTGATAAATTGGTAGAATCATGTTGCAATAGAGTAAATATTGATTATAACTTTTATATAATCTTTGCCAAGGCTTAAAGTGATCAGTGACCGCAAAAGTGATTTATTGCCTGCTGCCTCAAATGTTTGATTTTATGCTAATATTAGGTTGAGTTTGTGACTAGAAACCCAGCAGAGGGCGCCACAATCATAATTCTGTCTTACAGTCCAATATAATTGGAATAAATATTGAATAATAACCATAACTTTTCATCATGTAAACATATGAAGATGTGTGCTTAAAAGTTTCCATTTGATTACTTTCTTGTATATTTAATATATTCAGCAATTCAAAACATGGGTTATCCTGAGTTATTTTTGAGTTAATTGTTCAAGTATCAGTTTAATTTTTGTACTTCTAGCTTTAAATAAAGGAATACTTTGGTCTTGTTGGTCTTGAGAGAGAGCAAGAATTCTTTATAAGAATATCTATTCCTAAATCACCACCGTGGTAGTGCACTGATGACACACTGAAAGATATTTTTTTTTCTTTTTATTTATTATTTATGATAGTCACAGAGAGAGAGAGAGAGAGAGAGAGAGAGAGAGAGAGGCAGAGACACAGGCAGAGGGAGAAGCAGGCTCCATGCACCGGGAGCCCTATGTGGGATTCGATCCCGGGTCTCCAGGATCACGCCCTGGGCCAAAGGCAGGCGCCAAACTGCTGCACCACCCAGGGATTCCTGAAAGATATTTAAATGAGGATATTTATCTGAGAAAACCGATAGATAGAATTATTCATTTGTTTCAAGAATAGTTTCCAGGTTAATATAACTTCATGAAAATAGAAAAAATAACTAAAATATTGTATAGTTACGAAAGCCTGATATGTATATATGTACAAAACACATATGTATGTGCATATATATAAAATATATTCGCAGTTTAATAGAACCATTAATCTCAATTTTAATTTAATTTTTAAAACCAAGTAATGATTTTATTCATTATAAATTTTCAAAGATGAGAGGATCAGTCTTCGTTCCTGAATTTGTTCTGTAACCAAAAAGATACAGAAAATCTTTAATTTGAGGTAGTAAATGAAACCTTTACATAGTTTCTTATTTCTTGGTATATTAGAAAAGAAAATATTTTATTTTGTATATTTACTGTTATTATTTAGAAGCATTTTTGGGGGGCAGCCCTGGTAGCTCAGTGGTTTAGCGCCGCCTTCGGCCCAGGGTGCGATCCTGGAGGCCTGGGATCGAGTCCCATGTTGGGCTCCCTGCATGGAGCCTGCTTCTCCCTCTGCCTGTGTCTCTGCCTCTCTCTCTGTCTCTCATGAATAAATAAATAAAATCTTAAAAAAAAAGAAGCATTTTTTTTTTAATATTATGACCTGTAAAGTGTTTTAGATTTTTGAGTTTTGTTTTCAGAGTTTGAATTCCTTCAAATGTTGTAGGAAGAAATTAAAAATGAATCTTATGCAATCATTTTGGCATCATGATTCACTGCTCTGTATATTTGCTATTATGGAAAACACATTTGGAAAGCCACACTCCCTTTTTTGCTTACCTCTATTTAGGAATAGGTATGCATATTTCATTCTTTGGGTTCTACTACTTGAGAATCTATTTCCTTTTCAAATATCAAAGCTGCTCTATGGAGAGGTTATGTCTGCTATTGGTTCATCATGCCTGAAAGAGAAGCCATCACACTACCTAGGGAAAAGTGTAGGATGGCATCCTTCACCTCAAACGAAGTGCTGGCCACTTTTTTCATGTAACATGTCACTTTAATATGTTGGGTAATGAGAGTACTCTGCAAGCACTGGAGCAGCAGATCACTTGCTTCTGTTTTCCCTGTGGACAGAGTCTCCTTTCTAGCAAGTTCCTAACCTCTAATCAAAGAAGCCTCACTATGCTGTGTCTCTTTCAAACCTGCTTTCTCTTTCTTTAAAGCCATCTCCTTTACCGAAATGAATTTTTTAAAAATGTGATTTTCTCCAAAGCTTAGTTGATTCAAATATGGTTGTCATAGTACATAATGTAACTATTTGGTATTTGCAAAACCTCATCAGTGCTTGGGGTTATAATAGCTTCATTTGGACTTTTTTCATACATCATCCTTCATTTGACAGCTTGAGCAGATGAGATAATACTTTATACAATTTATTTTGCACAATATATGCAATATATATGTATAAGCCTTTAAAGGATAGGAAGTCAACAATACTATCTCACTGCAGTAACCTAGTATGAATCAGGATCCCTGGCTAACACTGCAGCTTAAATTTGAAGAATGTATTAGAAAGACTCCTTCTGCATTCTTTGAAAAAAAATTTTTTTTTTCTCCTGGCTGAGCTACATGACATGGTGGTTGTTATCTCATAGTCTCTTGGAGAAATTTGTGGACTCTCTGCCTTTTATATATTCTCACATATGACAGTGTTAATTCTTTTCCCCTCCATGAATCCTGAACTGGACTTTTAAGGCACACAGCTACAGTCTCCTGCTTCTAGATCCTTCCTAGTGTCTGATAGTAGGACTTGTTTTATGATGTATCCAAAATGGATCTCTTTCAGTTTAGTAATAGTTCCTATCTAAGGAGATA